GCGCTGCTTCAGCGCGAACTCGCACTTCTCTATTACCCATGAGACTCATACAAACGATAAATGGAAATAAAACTTTCAGAAAAAAAAGCTGTACACTGTACACTAAATTAAATTCTTCTATGTATACGAGGTATGTTCAAAAAGTATCGCGAATTTTGAATTTCTGTGGGAAACGTGTACTCGATTTCCAGTTTTTTTGTGGCATTATGTTGGTACTCATGTTTTTCACTTATACCAACAGGTTCGGTCATGTTGAATGTTCAGTTAATTTTTGACAGTTGCTTTGCTTGCACGTGTTTTGACTCGTCGATTTTTGCCTATTCCAAAAAATAGATCAAAGAATCTGTATCAAATTGTGTGTGAAAAACAAAATTAAATGCGCGGACACATTCGGAATGTTGACTGTGGCATATGGTGAAGCTACCTATGATCGAAGCAACTTTTGTCTGTGGTACAAATTCTCAAAGGACCGCAAAGATGTGAACGACGAAGAGCGTACCGGACGTCTGAGTAGGTACGTCAACAACAGACGAAAACATTGATAAAGTGAAGAAAATAGTATTGGACAATCGTCGAATCACCGTTCGAAAAGTTGCTGAGGACCTAAACATATCGATTGGCTCCTGTCATTCGATTTTTACCAAAGATTTGGGAATGAAACGGGTCACCGCGAAATTCCTACTAAAATTGCTCAGTTTCGACCAAAAACAGCAACGATCAACACTGTTAAGAAGCTGTTGGACTCTGCCCAGACGACCCAAAATTGCTCCAAAGGGTCATAACTGGTGAAGAATTATGGATTTATAGTTCTGATGTTTCTGACGTGGAAACCACCAGAAACTCCGGGATATGTGGAAAACACAAAAATTGACTTTGCACTATGACAACGCCCCTGCTCAAACATCGTTGCTTGTGCGCGGTTTTTCTTTCCATAAACAACACACTAATAATGTCACAGCTACCATATTCCCCAGATCTGGCACCTTGTGACTTTTTCTTGTTCCGAAAACTGAATAGGCCCAAGAAAAGACGACGATACGCTACGATTGAGGAGATAAAGACGACATTGAAGGAGTTGAACAAGATCACAAGGATCGAGGATTAGAAAAAACGTTGGCACAAGTATATAATATCCGGTGGGGATTACTTTGAAGGGGGCAAAATAGATATTAATGAATAAATAAATCATTTTTGGAAAAACACAAAATTCGCGATAGTCTTTGAACAAACTTCGTATGAGAGGGTCAAAGAATGAAAACGCTCGTTAGGCAAGAGAACAGTTCAGAACGCATTTTGGCCATGTGGACACTGAAAAACGTCCACATTCCAAAATTCGTAATACCATAATAAAAGAATACGAGATGCACAGTGATTTATGATATGGGTCCAAATAATCTGCAAGCTTTTATTTCTTTGCCTTAAAGTAATAAAGTGAACGTATCAGACAGAAAATTTTCTTATTCCTATTTTTGCAACTAAAATTGAAAATCACTACAATTATAAGACACAATCAAAACATATGTACGAAATGGACGTGAAAGCGTCAACAAATTTTCTTCATTAATTTGGGATATTTGTAGAGGATAGAAAGTTCATTTCACTTTAGTATTTAACATATCGTCCAATCAAAACTTTTGAGAAAGATTAATGTTCTCACGAATTGAGATTAGCTGTTTAGTAATACAGCCGGTGTTTCTGAAATAAGTAGCAAGCCTTGAAGGGTGTTAACTAAGTGAATTAGGGAATCGCAATGGCGAATAAAGCAGTGGGTGAGGGACAAAAGAATTTGTAAGAAAATCAGNACCGTTCGAAAAGTTGCTGAGGACCTAAACATATCGATTGGCTCCTGTCATTCGATTTTTACCAAAGATTTGGGAATGAAACGGGTCACCGCGAAATTCCTACTAAAATTGCTCAGTTTCGACCAAAAACAGCAACGATCAACACTGTTAAGAAGACGACCAGAAATTGCTCCGGAGGATCATAACTGGTGAAGAATAATGGATTTGTGGAAAACACAAAAATTGACTTTGCATTATGATAATGCCCCTGCTCAAACATCGTTGCTTGTGCGCGATTTTTTTTCCATAAACAACACACTAATAATGTCGCAGCCACCATATTCACCAGATCTGGCACCTTGTGACTTTTTCTTGTTCCCAAAACTGAATAGGCCCATGAAAGGATGACGCTACGCTACGATTGAGGAGATAAAGACGACATTGAAGGAGTTGAACAAGATCACAAGGATCGAGGATTAGAGAAAACGTTGGCACAAGTATATAATATCTGGTGGGGATTACTTTGAAGGGGGCAAAATAGATATTAATGAATAAATAAATCATTTTTGGAAAAACACAAAATTCGCGATAGTCTTTGAACAAACTTCGTATGAGAGGGTCAAAGAATGAAAACGCTCATTAGACAAGAAAACAGTTCAGAACGTGTTTTGGTCATGTGGACACTGAAAAACGTCCACATTCCAAAATTCGTAATACCATAATAAAAGAATACGAGATGCACAGTGATTTATGATATGGGTCCAAATAATCTGCAAGCTTTTATTCCTTTGCCTTAAAGTAATAAAGTGAACGTATCAGACAGAAAATTTTCTTATTCCTATTTTTGCAACTAAAATTGAAAATCACTACAATTATAAGACACAATCAAAACATATGTACGAAATGGACGTGAAAGCGTCAACAAATTTTCTTCATTAATTTGGGATATTTGTAGAGGATAGAAAGTTCATTTCACTTTAGTATTTAACATATCGTCCAATCAAAACTTTTGAGAAAGATTAGTGTTCTCACGAATTAAGATTAGCTGTTTATTAATATAGCCGGTGTTTCTGAAATAAGTAGCAAGCCTTGAAGGGTGTTAACTAAGTGAATTAGGGAATCGCAATGGCGAATAAAGCAGTGGGTGAGGGACAAAAGAATTTGTAAGAAAACCAGGCGAAGCTGCAATCCCGGGGCGTGAATTGGCAACATATTGCCAAGGTGCGTTGCCTTTTTATATGGGTAGTTCGTCAATTACCCTATCTTCTCATTGGAAAAAATTAATTACAACACCAGTAAACACACATACAGATATACACTCCAAAAATTATTTAATAGTTCTACAAACAGTTCCGGCATTTGACGTACTTCATTTGCAGCGATCATACACGGTCGTACAAATCATTTGCGTTTTGCATTGGCGTTTAATGCATGCGCTATTTCATACAACCCCATACAAAGAACTACTTCGAATGACTCCCATTGTCTATATCACTGATTCCGAACCTGGGGGTAATTACCCCCGCGGGGGTAAATTAATTATTCTGTGGGGGTATCAAAGAACCTAATAATTAAGACCTAAAATACGTAGTTAGATAGTAAAAATATAAAATTATACATATGTCGATGTTTATACAACTGTATGCACAATTGGTAAATATGAACCAAACAAGATCACATTTGAAAATTGTGTGGTTCGGCATTTTTATCTGCAGCAATAAACTCACTGAAGCAATATTTTCCGGATATGGATAATCGTTAGTCCAGTTCTTGATAACATTATTAAAAACGAAGATGTAGCGGCCAAAGTGGAATATCTTGGACTACACCAGAATACTACCGGCAGAGTAGAATTTCAAAATTATGATCTTAGCACATTTTGGCGAAAAGCTGGTGCCGAATATCCTGCTCTAGCTAACAGACCTTTAAAAATACCAATACCCTTTGCTACCACCTGTAGATGTGAGAGTGGTTTTTCAACTTTGGTTACACTGAAAATAAAGACCAGAATCCTTATAAATGTGGATTATGACTTAGGATGCGCTTTAAGCGAAACAAAAGCTAACATAAAAAAACTTGAAAAATGCAAAATAATACCAACCATCACACCAACTATCATTAGTTAATTTATTGTTTAGATATATAAAATTGTAAGACTGATGTGCAATTTGTGATTATTAAAGATATTTGTATTTGCTTGTGTTGTTTTCCTAATAGGTCACAGGGGTAACAATATTAAAAAGGTTAGGAACCATTGGTCTATATGCATACGTAATACAAGCCTACAACGTTAAAATAACAAAGGCTAGCTGTAAATCTAAACATCGTCAATCACACTAATTTACAAAAGAAAATCAAACTAAAATACAAAAGAAATACAACACGGATGCTGCTAAGTAGCAGCTGATTGAATGCGGCGTTGGAATGTCGTATTTCCCTGAGTGATTCTACCAGGACCGGACTGACTCTTGTCTATACTTTCAAATTCGTTTTTCTCGAAAACGGTGGATTTTCGGACAACCAAACATTTTCTTCTTAATTTTCTTGTTTTGTAGTGTCCTATCACTTCTTGTTCGCTTACTAGTTATTTCAGAAACTTCCTGTAGTATCAGGATTAACTAGGACTCGAAATTAGAGGAACACGAATCTCGTTATGTGGGTGTTTTTCAGAGTTATTGCCTTCAGAATAATTTGTTTGTTTCTTACTATAATTGTAATTATGTTTCACCAAGCGATAAGCAAACAGATTTATATATTATTTAGACAAGCCCTTTCAGATGATACCACATTATTTTAAATTATGTTATTATTTCGTTATTAGAAATTAGAGTGGTTTACTATTACTTTTCAAACTGTCACAGACTATTTTATTGGAATAAATATGTTCTAACGAATTATTTAGTTAACTTAAGGCATTATAGATGAACAGAACCTTATATAAAATTATGAAAAACAATTAACGTTGCGTAAAAGATCTAATCCGTTCAAATCCCGAAGGACCTGTTTGGTTTTTGCGAACACAACTTAATTTAATTGGCACTTGGAAAATTAGATTTTGTTAAATCCCATTTGTAAGTAACGTAACATATCTTAAGCTTAATTGCATCCGACAAGTAGAAGAACGGAACCACGGGAGACAGCCGTCTTCCTTAATTCAAAAGAGCTTAGCGTGTGTGGCGTTTTGAGTTATATGTACGTAAATGTACAACTTCTGCTTACCTTTATTAGTCCCACAATACTCGACTCGCTTTTATGTTCGAGACTGCAAATACTGAATTGGATACTGGGTACCATTTCTAATCTATGAGACAGTTGCCTCTGGAACGTCTGATGTCTCATGGGAACAATTGGAAGGGTAGTTTGGCGCAGAACCTGCAACAAACACAACAATTTTTCTAGTAATGTGCTCTTTAAAACGGTTTAATTCAACTGGAGAAATGGAAGAACCATTTTAGGAGACATAAACTTAGTATTTCTAATATTAGATTGATTCGGCCGTTATCTACAATGGCACCTTCGAACAAAATAATTCGAAGTGGTCTGTATTCTGTCGAAACTGCCAGACGAGGATCGAGATTTCGATCTTTTTGGATCTCATCAGCGCGTCGCAGGCAGCTCCTACAGAACACAGACCAACTTTTACCTGCTGTCTTAACAAATTAATCAGCAAGTAGATATCCATATTTTTAAATGGACCTTGTTGGAGCATGCGTAATCCTAAAATGTAGCATCGTACTACAGATGGCGCTCACCACGTCATTTGTGGTATTTTCTAAAATAGCACCTTAATGATTATTATCACTTTATTTTCTACATCATATTAAGTAGATTTCACGATTCCAAATGAGAAAAATTAAATAATTTAGAGACATCTGCCCCAATCAATGAATAAATGCAGGCTCTCGTTCCGAAATTATTTAGGGACACCTCAACTTTCGTCCAAATTATTGATACATCTGCGTCACGTGTGATACTTAATCCCATGCCTTCAATCCCGTCCAAACGAAATTAAATAACAATACATTCTCTTAATTATTCTAGTTCCCCGAAGAGTTACCTTTACGGACATATACAGGGTGCTTTTAATATTAAATTTTTTTATAAATTTACTTATCATTCCATTCGAAATAAGGTGAAAATAAATGTATTTCTTGTCGATACCTTTATCTCCGTGCTAACTTTAGGCAATTGCTCTCGTTCAATAAAATTGATGATGCATCTAGTAATTACCCTGATCATACCTAAACTGATTTTTATTGGTAACCGTTGAAAGGGTAAATTTGTTTATTTTGCATAATAGTTATCGACAGCAACGAGTGAAGTAATGAAAACTAAGCAGAATGTCTTTAATTGTTATTTTAAGTCGACGTGGAAAAGAATTGGTAACTCTTGGATGAATACGTAGCCATATAAAAATTTAAAATGTTCAAGAGCAATGAAGAACTTGAGGAATGATCTTGAACGATAGTTTAAATTTATTTCTGAAAAATTATGGAATTTTCAAAAAATAAAATGAATATTTAAATTTGTTAAATGCGTATAAAGTATATACTGTAACGTTAAAACTAAAAACAACACCCTGTATGTTGATAAACAGAATAAATTTTACATTTTGTTTTGGCCGTGCTATTATTTGGATGGGAGTTAAGGTGTCTTCAAATTAATTATTAGCAAGTAAGTAAATGTGGACGGGACTACCTGATCTGGAATGGGGTTAAGGTGTACCGAATTATTTATGTACGATATTTACGACCTTATATAGGTACCTATAAAATATTCCATGAATACAGTCACTTTGAAGTCATTGACGTTGGAGGCGGATACAACATGTCACTGATTACAAAACTAAAAATAACAAAAGTAAATATTACGAAGGGAGTCAGACTAGGATGCACACTGTCACTGCTACTTTTTAATCTATACATCGAAGACGCGATCAACATCATTAAAGACAGTACAACTGTAGGGGTAGATATAGAAGGGCAAAAGATTAGTATGCTTAAATTTACAGATAATATATCAATATTAGTATCTAGCAACCTTAAATAAAATGGAAGCGGTATTTTCAAAACAGTATGCAAATAAATAAAAGTAAAACAAAAATACTGGTATGCAAGGGAAGAAGAAGAAGGGAAAGAGCGAATATAAAGATACGAGACGAAAAATTAGAAGAAGTGGTTGATTTTCGGATTTTCTAGGAAGTCAGATAACTCAGGACGGAAGGAGTAGTACGGATATAAAGCAGAGGATAGCGAAGTGTCGAGTCGGCTTCAATAAAATGCGGTCACTTCTGTGCTCGCGAACGGTTAATTAAGAAATTCAAAAAAGATTGTTAAAGGTGTATGTTTGGAATGCGGCGCTGTACGGATGCGAAACATGGACGATGGGCGCGGAGGAAAAGAAAATGTTAGAAGCGTTCAAAATGTGGTGTTACAGGCGATTGATGAGGATACTTTGGATACAGAAGATTAGAAATGAAGATGTATTAGAAAAAATAGGAGAACAAAGGTCTCTATGGAAGTCAATAAGAAATAGGCGAGATAGATTGGCAGGACACCATCTCAGGCATGAAAGTCTAGTAAGGGACATATTAGAGACAGAAACAGGAGTTAATAAGAGTAGAGGTAAATAGACCTAGATTAGATTATCGTTCGTAAATAGTTAATGATGTAGGATGTTCTAGTTTTAGGGAAATGCGAAGATTAGCTCAGGATAGAAAAGAGTGGAGGTGCGTGTCCAACCAGTCATAGGACTGACGATCTTACGACCTTATGATGATGATGATAATAAAAAATGAGTTAATTGAAAAATAAATTTATTTTTGGCCGATTTAGGTACTTAATAATCTTAAAATAAACTCATTCTTGAAGTCATGTTCTTATCAATTTATGTACGTTCTCTTTCACATTCAAAAACCATTAATGCAATAAAATCTTAAGATATTTTTATGCTTCTTTTAACTCATTTTCTCGTTAAAACAAACTGTACAATTAAATGGAAAAACAAAGTAGTAGCTGTAATGCTGCTCGAAGTTCTGAAACTAATTTAATTACTGAAAGTGACTAAACCGCAACGTTAAATCAATTTAAAATTAGTAAGTTTAAAGTTGCTGTCAACTGTGCAACATGTATAGTAATTTACAGCAGCGGTTTAGTTACAAACCAAAATCGATCTCGACCACAAGGGTGCGGTACTGTTTATGTTTTCTAATTAACAATACACTCAAGATAAGATGCAAAGCTGGTTTCCCCCTTAACAATGCTTCATTACCTATTGGCGTTCATTTGTTTTCGTTTTAATTAAAACATTCGTCAAACAGGAAATTGGAAATGAAAAAAGCAAAACGTTTGCTACGCCGCTAGATTGAATACGAAAGAATATTTTGCCTTTATTTCAAGCGAAGGAGTTGGAAGCATTTCGGAATAATGAAAAAGAAGGCAGGATTTGATTTTTTGTTTACAAATAATTTATGAGCTGATATAAGTGCTCTATTGTGATAGAAATATTTGCCTCTGTCACTGCTCGTTTTGGAACATACGGGAATAAATGAAATAAAAACGACGACGAAGGGACCACTGTAATTTCGTCGTTATATCCGGAAGTCGTTACAGGCAAAGGTATAGAAATACAGACACGTATGTATAGTTTTCACCATTTTTCAATTTTCAAACGATTTCCGCCTTTTTTTAACAGTAGGTAAATGTGCGTCTAGGAGTCATACTTATTCAAAGGATTGCTAAACAGTTGCTACTCAGAATATCACATTGTAACTGAACGATTTTATCGTATAACATCTATAAACAAACGATAAAGGTCATCGTACTTGCTGACCATCTGTGTGGATCTAAACAAAATATAAGAAAGCTCTTTGCGTTTTTTGTGGCCGACTCCGGTCGCTATATCTGCATGGGATTACTAGGGATTTGTTACAAATGATTCATTAAAAACAGTCTCCACATCCGAAGTCGCTATAANATCGAAGCTGTAAATGGTTATTTTGAGGAGCTTGACGAATCAGTCTATAGAGATGGCATTAATAGACTGGAACACCGCTATGAGAAATGTATCAGCCTTGGAGGAGGTTATGTTGAGAAATAAAAAAAAAAAATTTTTAAAAACCTTGTTTTTCTTGGTCAGGCCGGAAACTTATCAATCCACCCTCGTATATGTAAGATTTAGATAAACGGTAAACTTGAACATCACAAATATCTTTGTGTTTTACTCTAAGAGTCTATCGCACAAAAGTTTTTTCTTAATTTGCTCACTTGGGTGATATCCATAACATGAAATCAATGCCGATTTTTTAAGAAAATGCAGTTGCTTTGAAGTATTTACTTTTATGCGTAAGTACTTATCACATTTTAAAAGAAAATACTTAAAAAGCGAAATAAATGCTACACTATAGGGTAGTATATGGTAGTATTTAATACAGAGGTCGTACGGTGGATTGTGTAGTAGCCCTAGACAAAAATTTTCTCCCCAGTCTTTCAGCGTCTCTGAGAGCATCTCTCACAATCTTTCACAGTCTCTCAGTTATTGCCTAGGTGCTTTTATGGATCTCTCACAGTCTCTGTATGAGAGACTCGAATGAAAAAATTTTTAATTCAGGGATTCGAGTCTCTCACAGAGAGACTGAATTAATAAGACTGGAGTCTCTCGTAGAAAGACTGAGTTCTCTGAAATATGTTGAACTTAGAAAATTTTAACCATGTCTGAAGATCACATCGCTACAGAAAGTAAACGAAGTATAACAGAATTGAATTTATTTCTCCCGATATTGACCGAGCTGCAATTTTTTTTTTTCGTAACAACTTTGCAATGTCGTTATAATACTGCTTTTTTTTACACCAATACATTTTTGAAGATGAATTGATCTTTTATGTTCACAGTAGACGGTCTCACGAATGGAATGCAGAAAATCACATCTCAATCCGACTTACTACACAAAAGTTCGAAAGGTTGGACTGTTTTTGTGCTTTATTTCGTCGACTATTATTTAAAGAGACTAAGTTAAGTCTTCAACACAGACAAAAACGTACTCGTGTCAAGCAATTACAACAAAAAAAGTTATTTTAGATTGGTTACTTAAAATAAATCTTTACCACGTAAACAAACGAGAAAAGAAGGAATCAGAATGTGCGTTTTAGAGGACAATAGGTTTGTGGAAGTAGGACAAAGTAATTTCAAAACTTTCGAATTAGGTACCTAGTGATTACAGGAGCAGAGCTGATGTTTCAACTTTTAGAGAAAAATTTCCATAAATTACGTCGGTAATTGTGTTACCTACTACAGTTTCATTCGTAGCATTTAAATTATTTCGGCAAAAGTTTTGCTATTAACCAAATGCGACGAATTCTTCAAATTCAGAAAAAACGGAGCTCACTTTCTTTCTAAGAACCTTACCTCAAAAATATTCCAAATGTAGTTACGCTGAATTAAAGTCTTTTGTAAGAAAAATGGTTGAACATTAATAATCTGTTGGAGATATTTTTTAGTCGAAATAGGTGATTGTTAATCAAAGTTTCTTATTAAAGGAAAACATCCGGGATATAGAAAGTAGACCTAAGAAACCCTGTAATAGGACTTTCTTATCCATTTTAAGAAAACACTACAATCTGTTTATAATGTAATTTATTTTGTGAAAACCAGACCGAATGAAAGAGATAACATTATTATAGTTAATCCTTGATTATACAACTGCACTTTAGAAGGTGAAGTTTATTCTCTATTTCTTAATTATTAATTAGTTATTGTCGGTGTTTTAGATAGAAAAATCCTGACTTACTGTTCTACTTTTTAGGTCGGTGTAATGCTCTGTTAGTTGCCGAATAAGCAAAGAGTACCTAATCAAGTAAAATATTATAAGTATATTTCATTTACTTTCTGTAGCGATGTGCCCCTTCCAATGCTTTCAATGCGCGCTGGCAAAATCGTAGGTATGGAGAAAAAAGCTCATTATACTCTCGACTCATGTTCATTAAACATACTTTTTCATGCAGTACCTGCCAAAAGCTTTGTTCAATCATGAATAGTAGCGCGAGTCGAAAACAAGCGTTGAAGCCTTTAATATGTCTTCAAATATAAATAAACATCTCGTTGTTATTTTCAGTAGTAATTGGTATCAATAACAGNAAATAAACATCTCGTTGATATTTTCAGTAGTAATTGGTATCAATAACAGCACATTTGAGCAATGAAATTGTAGTGGATAAAATGGTCAATTTTTCCGTGCAGTAATGTACGAATTATACGCTCCTCACAGGTTAAGAGAGTTGTCTCCTTCCTTTTCTGGCCTAGTGCTGTTCTTTTCTACTTTGCGCCGGTCAAACTGAAGGTCACATCGCTACAGAAAGTAAACGAAGTATAACATACAGACTGTTTCAAGTTACAACCCTTCCGTCCTTGAACGCATTTTTGCGCATATGCAACCAATTACACACCCGAAAATATGCACTTACACTAGACCAGTATCTTGCAATTGTTTAGTCAAAATAGTTGACTAGTACCTAATTAATGATTCTGATTAAAATTAAACATTGTAGATAGGGAAAGTAGGCGTAAGTAATCCTTTTCCTCCTTTTAGTTAAACGTTTTAATTGTCAGTTACTTTCACAAAGTTGTATTATCACAAGACAGAAACGCTTTTTTTGCTGTTTTCATCCGGAAAAATCTTTAAAACCCCTTTTAAACAAAGTCGGGTGAACTTTTACAGAACCTTAGCCTTTAAAACGTTAAACCAATCGGCTTTACGGCGTTCCACGCATCTTTTGCGGCTCTTATTTTTTTGACAAAAAAGTGATGGTTTTGATTATGGTCAAATATATAAGTGGTGGATAAGCACACAGACAAACCTATGCTAGCACATTATTATATATCTACCTATACTTACGAGGTCTGTTCAAAAAGTATCGCTAATTTTATTTTTTTCAAAAATTATTTATTTATTCATGAATATCTATTTTGTCCCCTTCAAAGTAATTACCATCAGATATTATACACTTGTGCTAACGTTATTTCCAATCCTCGAAGCAGTTCAAAAAGTCTTTTTCTGTGATCCTGTTCAGCTTCCCCTTCGATTGAGAAGAAGGACTTCATCTTTTCAATCGCAGCGTAGGATCGTCCTTTCATGGGACTCTTCACTTTCGGGAACAAGAAAAATTCACAAGGGGGCAGATCTGAGGAATACGATGGCTGCGGCATGATTAGTGTGTTGTTTCTGGCCAAAAATTCGCGCATAGACAACGATGTGTGAGCAGGGGTATTATCATGGTACAAAAGTCAATTTCTGTTCTTCCACAAATTCGGGCCTTCCTGATGGATTGGTTCGCGTAAATTGTGCATAACTTGCCGGTAATATTATTTGCCGTTCTATTCTAACTTGGTGCGCTTTTCTCAGTCTTGGCTCGTGCGGCAGCTTCCATTGGTATGATGGAGCTTTGGTTTCCATGTCATAACTGTAAATTTATGATTCGTCACCAGTTATGATCCACTGGAGTAAATTTGGGTCGTCGCGGATAGAGTCCAACAGCTCCTTAGCAATGTCAATGCCGTGCTGTTTTTGGTCGAAATTTTGGTACGAATTTCGCCGCGACCCATCTCATGCTCAAATCATTAGTAAAAATCAAATGGCATAAGCCAATCCAGGTGTTTAGGTCCTCAGCAACTTCTCTAATGGTGATTCGACGATTGGCCAATACTTTTTTCTTCACTTCATCAACGTTTTCGTCTGTTGTTGACGTGTTCGGTCGTTCACATATCGACCCTCTGAGAACAATTTGTACTACCTATAAACATTGCTTCGGTCCAAGGTAACTTCACTATATGCCACAGTCAACTTTCAAAAAGCGTCCGCGCAATTAATTTTGCTGTTGGTGTAAGTGAGACATGAGTACCATCATAAGGCCACAAACAAATCGAATGTCGAATATACGTAACCCATGGAAATTCAAAATTCGCCAGAGGTTTTGAACAGACCTCGTATTTTTTTACTTTTTAAATGTTTTTCAGTTGAATTTTTTGCGTATTAGGTATACTATTTTAATTAAATTTAAAGTGTAGTACCTTACATCTTCAAATACTACCTTTGATGGTATTTCAGTTTTTAGTCTAAAAATCTTTTAGATACTGTAATATGTGCGCGAGAGCTAGAAGAGCAAAAAATTTTTTTCGACATTGTACTGATGGATGCCGCTTGGCACCCCCTTAGAACTCGCGGGCGCTGGCTGGCCCGTTCCTCTCTCTAAAGCCAGCACTGTATGTAAATATACTATTTTCAATCTTAAATGAAATGTACAAGTCGGACGAAGGAAGCTGGCGAGCGATCGCGCAGGTACTTGCCCATTTATGACCTATTTGGGTAAGTCACTTGGAACCGATACACAAATAAGCTTTCAGTAGGAGTAAATTATAGTATTAATACAGATGGGACAGTAGCGTACTAGGAAATGATGTACAAACATAACTTACCAAAATGATAAAATAAGCCTTGCCTTTGTTTTATAGTTAGTTTTCACATTCACTGTCGTCATGGGAATTTCTATCACTGTCACCAACATCAACAATTAGTTCTTCTGTTTGTCGTCTATTACTTGTTCACTGATCCCTATTTCTAAATATTTAATGTACGCCCCTGATAGGAATACTGAAGAATGACGGCTGCAATCTTTATACCTAAAACTGCCTACTTTTGCCACCGCGCATCCACGCCATTTTAAAATTTCCGCCAGCTTCCAGCGTCAGGCCTGTACCTACCTACATAAATTATGAGTATCATACTATAGTGCTTATCGTTTTCGCTGTTTTAACTTTTTGCACTCATTTACCAGTATAAACAATATATTTTGAGTATTACATTATGGGATTTACGGCTAATAGCGGCCAAATTTAACTGGTCTCTTCAACATCGTTATAAACAGTACTTAATGTATGTGCCATCGGGTCCTTATGAGAAATTTTATTATTCCATTATCTTCATTATTCATATAACCAATGAAATTAAACACTGAAATTGTAAGGGCTATTATTTAAGTCTTGACTTTTTATGCGGACCGCTTGATGCGTGGAAATGGTAAATAATTTATCGTCAGCTCAGCAATGTCACCCAGACTCTTAAATTTCAACTTTATACGTATCAAATTTACCTATCTCTTATGACCCTTCATGACAGCTCATAAATATTGCCTATGAGAGCATTTTTTTCCATTTTTTTACTAACATGATAACCTGCGCGTGTAGGAACAGCCAACGGCTATTACCTAAAAAAATATACTAACCGAATAGAGAAATTCAAAGTAATAAAAAATATCTTTTTAATACTAGAGAACAGCACGAAATTGAAATAGCGAAACATGAATATACTCAAATTCGATATAGCATGTGGTAGAAATTTTACACCATAAGAAGTAGATTAAAAAGTAGGGGTGAGAGTGTGCATCCCTGTCTGACTCCCTTCTTAATATTTACTTCTCTACTTTGCAGTTCCATCTCTATAACTGCCTGTTCTTCTTTATATTAACTAAGTTTCACTCTTCTATCTTCGTAACTCATCCCTACATTTTTAACTATATTTAACATCTTGCCCCATTTAACATTTTCAAACGCTTTTGGCAAATCTACAAATCCTATGCACGCACTCTTTCTTTTTCCTATCGTTTTCTCTATTGTTATACTTCGTTTACTTTCTGTAGCGATGTGACCTTCAGTTTGACCGGCGCAAAGTAGAAAAGAACAGCACTAGGCCACATAAGAAAGGAGACAACTCTCTTAACCGGTGAGGAGCGTATAATCCGAACAGTACTTCACGGAAAAATTGACCATTTTATACACTACAATTTCATTGCTCAAATGTGCTGTATTGGTACCATTTACTACTGAAAATATCAACGAGATATTTATTTATAGTTGAAGACATACTAAAGGCTTTAACGCTTGTTTTCGACTCACACTACTATTCATGATTGAACAAAACTTTTGGCAGGTACTGTATGAAAAAGTATATTTTATGAACAAAAGTCGAGAGTATAATGAGCTTTTTTCTCCCAACCTACGATTTTGTCAGTGCGCATCCAAGACATTGGAAGGGGCACATCGCTACAGAAAGTAAATGAAGTATACCCGTAAAACTAGAAAGGCCTCCCTCGTTTCTCTATTTGTTTTAACGGTAAGGGTATGGTAATAAATCAACTTATTTTACTTTAATCTACTTACTTTTTTTATCGATTCTTTGTGCTCTTGTACGTATTCTTGTTTCATGGGTTCTGTTTGTAAATCTGGGAGGGAATGACTGATGCATATTGCAGATTGTTTTGCTAAAGTTTCTGCCTCTTCGCAGGAATCTCGACATGTTTTTTCCCGTATCCATTTCCAGGTGGCTGTGCACTGGTAACTAACAGCCGCCAAAATTACTAATGCCATCGCTGTGACTGCTATTCCTCCGAGAATTTCGTACTGCAAGTACTTCCAATTCGACAGATCTGGAACAAAATAATATTGTTGCTTAACATGTCATTCTGACACTGATCACTATCAATCGAACAACAAAATTTCAAATAAGATAGAATTTATGACAAAGACTGATGACGACGGCTGATGGTTGTAGCGGAGAATAGAGAGAAATATGCTTGTTTCCTGAAAATGTCGTGATAATAGTTTGAAGACTCTGATAAATATGTACATACGAGGGTGGATTGATAAGTTTCCGGCCTAACCAAGAGATGACGCCACTAGGCCTACCTTGAGGTGACATTCTATAGTACCATCCTTGGATAGCTTGTAGCTATAGTTTCAGCCCGATCTCCTTGCTAGTGTAGGTTTGACAGCACGCTGAACAAGACGCCTCTGTGGTTTTCGTAAAAATGGAAAAGCAGGAAAATCGTGCTGTCATCAAATACTTTTATTTGAAGGGGTTAACGCCGAAGGAAATTAAAAAAGAGATGGACTCAACACTGGGGACATCCTCCCCGTCATATTCAACCGTTAAGCAGTGGGTTTCCGAGTTTAAAAAGGGTCGTGTGAGCACCTCTGATGGGCCTCGCTCAGGACGCCCCGTTGAGGTCACAACTCCAGATATGATCGAAAAAATTCATCAAATAGTGCTGGGAGACCGCAGATTGAAAGTGCGTGAGATAGCTGAGACCTGTAAGATGTCATATGAACGTGTGCAACATATTTTGCACCAACATTTGCATATGGAAAAGCTCTGTGCAAGATGGGTGCCGCGTTTGCTAACAGTCGACCAAAAATTGATTCGAAAAAACATTTCTACCGCAAATTTGTCATTGTATAAGCGTAATCCAAGCGAATTTTTGCGTCGATTCGTAACCGTTGACGAAACGTGGGTCCACCACTACACTCCTGAAACCAAAGAACAGTCTAAACAGTGGATTGGACCAGGGGAACCAACTCCAAAGAAGGCAAAAACAATTTTTTCGGCGAACAAGGTTATGGCTACTGTTTTTTGGGATGCAAGAGGTATTATATACATTGATTACCTTGCAAAGGGTAATACTATCACTGGTCAATACTACGCAGACTTATTGCAACGTTTGAGCCACGAGGTGAAAATTAAACGACCTCATCTGGCGAAGAAAAAAATCTTGTTTCATCACGATAACGCACCAGCGCACACGTCAATCGTTGCGACGGCTAAAATCAACGATCTAAAGTTTGAATTGATGCCGCACCCTCCTTACTCTCCAGACCTAGCCCCGAGTGACTATTTTCTGTTCCCTAATCTCAAAAAATGGCTTGGCGGTAAGAGATTTGCGGACAATGAAGAAGTAATCGAAGCTGTAAATGGTTATTTTGAGGAGCTTGACGAATCAGTCTATAGAGATGGCATTAATAGACTGGAACACCGCTATGAGAAATGTATCAGCCTTGGAGGAGATTATGTTGAGAAATAAAAAAAAAAAATTTTTAAAAACCTTGTTTTTCTTGGTCAGGCCGGAAACTTATCAATCCACCCTCGTATATGTAAGATTTAGATAAACGGTAAACTTGAACATCACAAATATCTTTGTGTTTTACTCTAAGAGTCTATCGCACAAAAGTTTTTTCTTAATTTTCTCACTTGGGTGATATCCATAACATGAAATCAATGCCGATTTTTTAAGAAAATGCAGTTGCTTTGAAGTATTTACTTTTATGCGTAAGTACTTATCACATTTTAAAAGAAAATACTTAAAAAGCGAAATAAATGCTACACTATAGGGTAGTATATGGTAGTATTTAATACAGAGGTCGTACGGTGGATTGTGTAGTAGCCCTAGACAAAAATTTTCTCCCCAGTCTTTCAGCGTCTCTGAGAGCATCTCTCACAATCTTTCACAGTCTCTCAGTTATTGCCTAGGTGCTTTTATGGATCTCTCACAGTCTCTGTATGAGAGACTCGAATGAAAAAATTTTTAATTCAGGGATTCGAGTCTCTCACAGAGAGACTGAATTAATAAGACTGGAGTCTCTCGTAGAAAGACTGAGTTCTCTGAAATATGTTGAACTTAGAAAATTTTAACCATGTCTATCGAGACACTACTTATTGAGAGATTCGAGTCTCCCGTTCGGAGATTCGAGTCTCTCGTTCAGAGACTGGATACGAAAACAGAATCTATCTATGAGCTACTCGAGTCTCTCGTTCAGAGACACCAGAGAGACCCGATGAGAGACGGAGATTCGAGTCTCGCCTTCAGAGACTCTGAGAGACTGAACATTTTTATCTCGGGAGATAGCATGAAATTTTAGCATTCCCTTGATATCAAAAAAACTAAAAAATTTTAGGTGTTTCATTTCCACCAGCCATTAATGCTGGTGGGCGGGCAGTCCCTCCGGACTACACCGAAAGGTAGGATAGAAGACCCTCTTCAGCCTCCTTTCAGAAATCGTGGGAATGTGTGGATGGTGGTTAGGATGAGAAAGATGAGACGGACGAAATGAAGACAGAAGAGAGTGAAAGATTATATGTGGAATATTATTGCTCCAGCATTTGCCTAAGTGATTTAAGGAAACCACAGAAAAACTTGGACCGAGGCAGACGGACCCGGAATCGAACAGGCGTTCTCCTGAATGCTCAGCAATGGTCTAAACCTCTAGACCATGCCGCTCGGTTTATATCAAAAAATTATTCACGTATTTGTAGTTTTTGTTGGTTTCATTTTTATTTTGTGTAAATTTTATTTTTAGTGTAGTTTAAGAATATCTATTCTGCAGAATTCAATGTTGGTAGGTACCTGTTAGTTGTTGTTATATGCTCGCTGGATAAACGTTGTCCTTTCAACTACATCATAAGAATAGTGTAGTCAGTAATTAAGAATAAATAGTAAATATTTCACGACTTATTATTGGCCCTTCGAGAGATAGAATATTAAATGTGGTACATCAGTACAACCGTTCGAGATAAGTGATAAAACACTACAAACAAAAACAACACTTCCAGGATGAAGTGTAACAAGCTTCTGTGTAGTAATGACTACTTTTTAAGCGTAATAAGTACTACCTGGTATAATAAATATTTCACTGAGTAACTAAGTATTTAAAGCATTAGCAAGTACTATACGTATACGTTGGATACACATCATCCACACTAATGATGAACTAAACAAAACCAAGACCAATCTTGGTATTGATCTTGGTCTTGCTGATATAGTCTTGGTCTTGGTCTTGCGTATTATGTCTTGGTCTTACACATTTAATCTAATACGTTTTTTTTCTAATAATTCTTCTAAGCATAAGTTTTTCTATTTACCGACACAATAATTGACTTACAACTGAAACTTTCTGTCAAGAGTTTTTCAAGAATTTTAAAGAAAATAGTATCGATGGTTGTCTCAGTTATGAAAACTCGAGAACTTACCCTTCCTCCGACGCATAAATTAACCCTTCCTCTAATGCATAACTTGAAAGACGTAAAAATATCGAAAAAAAATAGTTTGTTTCTATATTTCAACATTATGTTATACAGACGTAGGACCAAAGAACACTTATTCCAAGGACATTCTTGTAGATCTCTTTTACAAGTGGTAATGTTTCTCTTTTTTATAATAAGTGATAAACTCTAGTAAAACAAACTGACAATTTCAAATACTAAAAATGTTTTGATCAAAGAAAATAATATATTAATGTTTAATTAAATAATTTAACTCATAAATCCACCCGAAGTAATAATTTTTCGTTTAGTATTGCGCATCTGACCTTGATCTTGCATATTCGGTCTTGGTTTAGTCTTGGTCTTGTTCGTTCGATTTTGGTCTTGGTCTTGTTGGTATATAGGCAGTCTTGATCTTGGTTTTGCATTTTTAGAAGGCCAAAGCTGCAAGATCAAGACCAATTTTACTCATCGCTAATCCACATTATGTCCACTCGTCTAACATGCTGTTGGAACTAAAAATCATAAATATCATTTTTGTACTTAATGTGCTAATAAGGTCAGCAATTTACCAAAAACCACAAATTTACTAGTTCCCATCAGCACTTACGGATGGTTTCGATAAATCTGTATAATTTTCTCAGCACCACACTGTAGCATTTACTTCGAGTAGTAGCATTCACACTGCGCTTGCTAAACGTACATACATACTTCGAAGTAAATGCTTTTCTCAGTAAATATTTACAGATAGTGATATTTTTACAGTTACTTAATATTGAACCATCAGGTACTTATTGGTAATGAAATTATTGAGAACCTTCTTATAATTTGATTAATTCCAGATTTAATTTCAACGGAAAATATACATATTTCCGTTTAAACGGTTCGAATTTTCTGTAAATGTAAAGCATTCCCTATTAATTTGGGTATCGTTTGAAAGGGACAAGTGCGTTCTATCTACATATATTTACATATGTTCTGCGTTATTAAAGCAGCTATGCGCCTTTCGTCCCTTATAATTTTCCCGAGTGGAATTTATGGAATGCTTTACGGTAGATTGCACGTTTCTGCGAGACGAACCGTTTTAAAACATTCACAATTAGGGCAATCCCTTTGATACCTACCAATGTGGAAGCATGTGACCTCAGGGAATGTCAATGGCTATATAATTTTATATTTACAGTCGTTTAAATTGCTTCAACAAATTAATACTCGCAAAATAATTATTCAGGGACACGTGAATGGAAATTGTTTACATGAATTTAATTATTCATGTTTAAGTATTACATAAATGAGGTATTTATTCAATCAATAACTATGGTATGGAACAGTGCTCATACATGTTAACCTTAAACGTGATAAACATGACAACTTTTTATAATGTTAACCATTAAACTGAAGCACCCCTGGAAGAATATACTGTCGTTAGGGTGGACGCGGCCAAAGTGGTGAAAATGGATTTCTAAAATTCCGAAATTAGAAGCATTTTAGAGCTTAATCTAGTGTCAAGGTTAAACACTAGGGGCTCATAAATTAAGTATGTCAATTGATGCTTAACTGATTCCTTTTTCATTTTTAGTGTATCTAAGTTAGTTAGTCAGACCTAGACCTTGC